TTGCCACTTCCCATGGATTGCTGGTTCAGACTTAGAGAGAAATCTGAGTTCTACACCACCTTCTTACCAATTTTACATTGATAAGATGTGGCTCTCAGACCCGAAGTATTTCTTGTCAGTCCCTTGGGAAATCTAAGTGTCATCTGTTATTAATGAATGGGCTCTAATTTTGGGCTTTCCCTTAAACTTTTGAAATACATTTAACAATGCTTCCTTTTTTTTCACATGGAAAACAGACAGGGTCTCATGTAGCCCAGGCTTAATTAAACATATTGTATAGCTGAGGATATAGAGGACAGGATACAATAGCTGAGGATAACCTTGTTGCTTCCTGCCTCCACCTCCTCACTGCTGGGATTACAGGCGTGTGCCACCACACCCAGTTCATTCAGAGCTAGGGAAAGAACCCAAGGCTAGCTTCCCTCCCTCCCTCCCTCACAAAGAAGGAGAAGGAAGTTAAAGTTCAGTTGCGAATTTTTTTTTTTTGTCTTTTTTGAGACAGGGTCTCCCTGTAGCCCCAGAGGCAGAGATCGACCTGCCCCTGCCTCCCTAGTACTGGGACTAAAGGTGAGTGCCACCACGCCCAGCAGAACACAAGGCTTTCTGCATGCTAGGCACGCCCATGAATGTTTAGGGGACTAAGCTACATGTTCAACATATAAACACAATATTCTTTTTCCCAATCCATTGTTAGTGAACAAGCAAACAAAACTACCCCACTGAGTTGAAATAACATGTGTCCTCCACACTTTCATTCAGCTTCAAGAAGCTCCCTTGGTTTATCTTCAAAACAGATAACAAATAGAAAATTTCTTACTTTTTTGGTCTTTTTGACACAGGGTCTCCCTGTAGCCCCAGCTGGCTTGGAACTCACTGTGTAGACCAGACTGGCCTTGAACTCACAGAGATCTACCTGCCTCTGCCTCCCGAGTGCGACCATGCCCAATCTTAAATTGACAAATTCTTAATCCTTCCCCGCCCCCCCAAGTGTGAGTAGCTTCTCTGTCTCCCATACCACTGGATTTAGTGTACTTAATCGTCTCCTTGTTTCCACTTTCGATTCTCAACTGTCCTGTGGGAAGGTATTTTGAGGGTTGGTAATTACTCAAATACAGTACTGGCTCAAAAGACTTATTCTAAATTAAAATACTGGGTAAATACAGTTTATTAAATCAATTTAAACACAAACCCTATGTCAAAGGGAAAGAAACAGGGGAAGTTAACACTTAGGGCACAAGCATGTAGCAAACTCTTGGGTTACAGTGTTCACATATTTTATCATTCTCATTCCTCTGTCAGGCTTTTTCACTGATGGGATGAGGATGGGGTCTCACTATGTAGCCCCGGAAATCACAAGGATCCCCTGCCTCTGTCTCCTGAGTGCTGGGACAAAAGGAGTGCACCACTACATCCCGTCAAGTCCTAGATTCTTTAAACAAATATTAAAATAAAAAATGACATTTAAATTACGCAGAGTATACTTAGCTTTTTAAATTTAGAAACAAGATACTCTCAAAAAATAATAAATCAATAGACTGTTATCACAGGTAATCACAGTCTACTAAAAATTTGGCAGAGCCAGAGCAATCTCATGATCTCTGTGTGGACGAGTGGATGCAGGTTCCTCCCTGTGACAGCTGATGTTAGGCCCCTCTTTCCTGGAAACTGGGAGAAAGCAATTGTCCTTGATGTCTCACAGGTACTTCAGAGCCCTTTAGGAAGACTGTCAAGCAGTATTGACCTTAGAAAAGTTAACTCTGGGTGAACAAGTATTCTCCAGGCAACTAGAGATCAGTGGGTTTTGTTTTGGTGGTTTTATTTACTTATTTATTATTTACTCATTCACTTGTTTTTGTTATCTTAGGCAGCTAAATATTTAACAGAGTTTGAGCTTAAATTTTTGCCTATTCTCTCCTTTTATAATTTAAATATATTTAGCAGAATTTTTGCATGAGTTCAAACAAAAATATAGTTGGGTAAATAGTAACTCTATTTTTGTTGTCTCTGTAGTGTATTTTTTACTGTTTTTGTTGTTCCTGGAAATTGATTCTAGGGCCTCAGTAATACTAGGTACTTCTAAATTACATACAATTCAATTTTATTTTAACATTTATTTAAAAAAAACTAATAGCCAATGATGTTGGCCCAAGCCTTTAATCCCAGTAGTCAGGAGGCAAATCTGCCTGAAAGATCTATGTGAGTTCAAAGCCAGCCTGGTCTACTATGGAGTTCCAGGCCAGCTGGGGGTACTTAGTGAGACACCGAACCAAACCAGACCAGACCAGACGAAACCAAACCAAGCCAAACCACAAAAACGACCAACAAGGGTTTGGAGGGATGGCTCAAGGTTATGAGCACTTACTGCAGAGGACCTAAATTCAGTTCCCAGCACCTAAATGGCAGCCAGCAACCCTCTGTAATTTCAATTCCAGGGGATCTGACCCTCTTTTCTGGTCTCCGAGGGCACTACAGGCACGTGGTACTTAACAGGCAAAACATTCACATAATCAAAAAGCCCAACAGAAACAAAAACTATTCATTCAATTAAGACAACATAAACGATCTATAAAACTGTCACTAGGTGTGGTGGCGCACACCTTTAATGCCAACACTCAAGCTCAAGAGGCAGAGGTAGGGGTAGGGGGCTTTCTCTGAGATCATGGCCAGCCTGGGCTACATGGGAGTTCCAGAGTGGCTGAGACTACAGAATGCTTAATTCCTTTTCCTGTCTGTACCGAGTCACTTTCAGTTCTCTTGGAGGGACTGTAAATATTTAATTTGATCCGACAGATATTCTGTAACGCGACCTTTTCCCTGACAATATAGCTGATAAAATATCAAATGCATCCGCTCCTTACCAACTTTTCCAAGGGAAAGCACCTACTTATCCTCCAGGCGGACTTCCTAAGCCCAGGCCTCATGAAGTTAAGTACTCTGGGTGAATTAGACTTGACTGCCAAGGAGCCTGGTGAACAGCGACAAGGGCTTTGTTCCTTTGCAGGGTAAGAGGACCAGGATGTGACCGACACTGAGGGAACTTAAATATTTGAGAACCAGCTGTCCCCTCTGCCGTGTGTACCACACCGAGCTTTACTCCCTTCTAGTGTATTGAAAGACGCAATGTACCTCTTATCGACTTAACTGCAGGGAAAGTTGAAGCCGGTTTTTGCAAACATTAAGTCACCGTAGTTGCTAGAAATGACGACCTACGCAGGTCTGGTACCTGTAGGATAGGAGCTCACTCCGTCGTGAAGATTCAGGCAGGACATTAATGCAGTTCCGAGTTCACACTGCAAGTTCAAAATCAACTTCCTACTAGGAATAAGTTTTGTAAGGGCGTTAGCTCTTTGGACCGACATGTACAGATGAATCACGAAACGTTGTCTTGAGTCTACAAAGGGGCGACCTTAAATCTACAGGGAACTTTGGCGGGGCGACTTTAGAGTCAACGCACAGCTCCTCCGGGAGCAGGTGGCGGCCCTGAAAAGGGCCTTTGTGGACACAGCGGTCCGAGCTCATCAGCCGCCGAAGCCGTAGAGCGTGCGGCCCTGGCGCTTGAGCGCGTAGACCACGTCCATGGCCGTGACCGTCTTGCGCTTGGCGTGTTCCTTGTAGTTGTCGGCGTCGCGGATCACTTTCTCCAGGAAGACCTGCAGCACCCCGCGGGTCTCCTCGTAGATGAGTCCGGAGATGCGCTTGACGCCGCCGCGCCGGGCCAGGCGCCGGATGGCGGGCTTGGTGATGCCCTGGATGTTGTCGCGCAGAACTTTGCGGTGGCGCTTGGCGCCGCCCTTGCCCAGGCCCTTCCCGCCCTTGCCGCGACCGGACATGTTTAGCTTGAGAGTGAAACCAGACTGATGAAGGAGCGTGGTCAGCAGGTCTCTTATAGGGAACGTGCGGACCGGAGTGAAAACAGAAGGAGCATTGGCGGGAAGTGCCCCGCCGCTAGGGGGAGAGGGAGAGGCCCTTAGAGCGGAACAAACCCTGAGCTCACTCCAACCGTTTTAAGAGGTGGGTTGTTTGCCCCGCTGTCTCCTTTTTCATTTAATGTGATTTCTGCCCCATCCTTACTAACAGAAGTTAGCATTATAGAATAGTCAGCAATGTTGTCTCATTTCCATCCTTTTCCACAATTGTGGGATAACGCCGCTTGGAAGTTATTTTTAAGGGGTGAGCCGTGCTTGGTGGCGCACCCTTTAATCTCAGCACTTGCCAGGCAGAGGCAGGCGCATCTCTGACATATAGGCCAGCCTTCTCTCTCCGTTGGGGCTCCAGGGAGACCCTATCTCAAAAAGACCAAAGAATAAAGTTAACTTGGCGAAGAATCGTATTGGAAAATTGGGTTTTTTTTTTTTTTTTGTCTATGAGTGGCTATCATCACTATTGTCAGTAATCTGATTAACCACACAGGGCTGGAAATAATTTTAAAGCACAAGAAATACAAACAGCATATTGTACGGGATGTCTACAGATTATAGATGCTAAAGAAATTCCAGATAGAAGGTTCCGGGGTAAAATCGAGCTTAAAAGGAATGGGATGGACCTGCCAGATCGTACTGTGTAGACTGAGGTCTGCCAAAGTCCCCTTTTCAGCACGGGCGCTGCAACAGAGCGGTGAGCTCGCTTGGGAGCGCTTTTGTTTAAAAGGTGACACACAGGGTGCGTACAGACGGGCGTCGAACTCCGAACTGCTGAGCCGAGATGCAACGTTGTGGGTAGCGGTGACCAAATTAGTCCTGCGAACCGGCAGCTCAGGGTGCAGGGCCCTGGCTCCGTTCCCGAGGCGCGGGCACCGGTGGTCCTGCGGGGTGTGTTTCCCCTGGCGCCTAGCACCGCAGTTGCCGGCCCAAGACTTGCCTAAGCCGCAGGTAGCCGGGTTGCAGCGTGCACTGAAACCGAACCTTTTTGTTAAACTGTTGAATTGGCTCAGTTTGTCTTTGTGACAGGGTCTCCCTGCAGCCAGCTGTGGAGATCAAGCTGGCCGCGAAGCCGAGTTACGCCTGCTTCTGCCTCCCAAGTGAAGGCACGACCGGAGCTTTCCCAACGCCCTTAGCACTTTAAGGAACACATGCAAAGCTCTTTTCCAGAAAACGTGATTGGCTCTGAAAAGAGCCTTTGGCTTTAACTGGAAGGTTTTTGTGAAGTGGCCTATTTGCCCTTGGCCTTGTGGTGGCTCTCGGTCTTCTTGGGCAGCAGCACGGCCTGGATGTTGGGCAGGACGCCGCCCTGCGCGATGGTGACGCGGCCCAGCAGCTTGTTGAGCTCCTCGTCGTTGCGGATGGCCAGCTGCAGGTGGCGCGGGATGATGCGCGTCTTCTTGTTGTCGCGGGCCGCGTTGCCCGCCAGCTCCAGGATCTCGGCCGTCAGGTACTCCAGCACGGCCGCCAGGTAGACCGGGGCGCCGGCGCCCACCCGCTCCGAGTAGTTGCCCTTGCGCAGCAACCGGTGCACGCGGCCCACCGGGAACTGCAGGCCGGCCCGGGACGAGCGGGTCTTGGCCTTGGCGCGCGCCTTGCCGCCCTGCTTGCCGCGTCCGGACATGGCGAAGAACAAAGAGCAGTTAGGAGTTGGGTGACACCAAGTTTCCTGGGCTGGGCTCTTATAGTTTCCTCGGGGCGCGAAAAGGCCGCAGTGCGATTGGCTGTCTTCTCGTTTTCGTTTACGCCAATGGGGCGCGCGACTGTGCCCGCCTCGTGTTTTGATTGGGTAACGCCCGTTGGCGCGCTAACGATTTGGACCAATCAGAAGCGGCGTTCCCCGTCCTCATTTGCATAAACGACCGATAAATAGGGTGGCTCGCCTCCTTCGGCGTCAGAGCTCCGGCTCCTCCAGTTTGGTGTTTGTTGTCTTCGTCGCGATGCCCGAGCCCACGAAGGCGCCCGCCCCGAAGAAGGGCTCCAAGAAGGCGGTGACCAAGGCGCAGAAGAAGGACGGCAAGAAGCGCAAGCGCAGCCGCAAGGAGAGCTACTCGGTGTACGTGTACAAGGTGCTGAAGCAGGTGCACCCCGACACGGGCATCTCGTCCAAGGCCATGGGCATCATGAACTCGTTCGTCAACGACATCTTCGAGCGCATCGCGGGCGAGGCGTCGCGCCTGGCGCACTACAACAAGCGCTCGACCATCACGTCCCGGGAGATCCAGACGGCCGTGCGCCTGCTGCTGCCTGGGGAGCTGGCCAAGCACGCCGTGTCCGAGGGCACCAAGGCCGTCACCAAGTACACCAGCTCTAAGTGAGTGCGTACAGCGCTCTTAACCCAAAGGCTCTTTTCAGAGCCGCCAACTTTTTCCGTGTGAAAGCTGTTGCATTTTCCTTGAAGCGTTTCTGGACCCAAAGTGAGCACCGGGTGAGCCTTTTTGAATTTCACAGAGTAAGGCGTAAACGTGGCTTGTTCGCGTATTGAGGGCTGAGAATGTGGATCACTTAGTGAGAATTTTAGCCCAAGAGACTGGGTGACGCCTTCGATGTTTCTCCCAGAATCCTTCCAGTGCTCCTTGACCCTTCGTACCTGAGACCGAGGAAGTCCAAGCGAGCCGGCACACACAAGGTGGTCTTTGATTTAGAGTTCTCGGCCCAAATCCAAAGCTAGTTTGCAAACCCAGTTTTAGCCGTGTATTTTTCTGCCCCAAACAACAAACGAAAGACCAGCTTCCTTTAGGAATTTACTTTTTAAAATATGTAAACGTGGCTGGCCCACGCCTTTAATCCCAGCACTTGGAAGGCAGAGGCAGAGGCAGACAGATCTCTTGGGTTCAAGGCCAGCCTGGTCTACAAACTTGAGTTCCAGGCAAGCTGGGGCTACAGGGAGATCCCTGTCTCAAAAAAGACCAAAGAAAACAAATAAGTGAGTGCATTGCCATTGTTCTTAAAGATCTATGGAGCAGGGACGTTCTGTGGCGTGGGGTGAAGGCGGGAAGTGACCAGTTAGAGGCTGGAGCACCGCCACCTTCGCAGTGCCTGGAAAGAACCAGTTGCGAAAAACAGTGGCGCTCTGGCGCCGACGCTGTATAAATAACCCGTCAGGATCAGGACTGACCGGTCCTTCCCCCGTCTGTCCCTCTTCTTGGGAGCGGGAATTCCAGCACTTCAGGGTAAGATGATACCGTAATGCTCATGGGAGTATCTTAAACAAGAATTCAGATCGAGGAAGATGGTGCTTCTTCATTTGCTGCTTAGCAATTTGCAGTTGTGAAAACTGAAGCTTGGGTTGGGTTAGAAACTAAAAGATCAGTTTTAGAGCCCAGCTTCATGCTTGCTATACCCACTTGGTATTTATCTGTAGAAGGACTGCACTGTTAACACACCACTTACAGGTTAGCTATTCCTGCATTGAATACATGGTCTTGCCAGAGAGGATACCAGATGTCCATGATCACTTCTCAAACAAACACTAAAGTACATTTTTAAATGTATTCTTGTTACCACCAACCTCTAACTGTATTTCTTAAACCATTTACCATATAATTAGCCAACATGTCATTCAATATCTACAGTTCACCCAAGTCTGGGGGAGTTGGAATGAGAAAGTAAGAAAATGTCTCCCCAACTCCATCGCTGGCGACCTGGAAAGTGGTGACATGTTCATGAAAGAAAATTTGATACCACCTGTCGAAGTTAAATACGTACATATCGTTTCTAAAATATTGTTTTTATGTGTATGAGTGTAGTGCCTACATGGATATAAGTGCACCCGTGTTGAACAATACCTGCAGAGGCCAGAAGACAGCATTGATTCCCCCGGAACTAGAGTTGTTAGCCACCATGTAGGTGTTGGAAATTGAACCTGAGTCCTCTGCAAAAGCATCCAGCGCTCTTAACTGCTGAGCCACCTCTCCAGCCACAAATATGTGTAAATCTTTTATGTCCAGAGATTCTTCCTTTAGAAATTTACTATTTTTTTAAAATACGTAAATGCTGTATGTACTCCCCACCACCACCACCAAGTAGAACAGTTCACAATTCAAAAGACCTGCCTGCAACACATTAGAATGCTGCATTCTGTCTGGTGGACAAACATACAAAGGCACTTTTTCACGTCTTACCATGTGCCAAATAATGACTTCAAAAGTCCTTTACATTCATTAAATCATTTTTTAAAATACTTTATTTTGGGGGTGTATAAGTGTAATACCTCCATGTATATAAGTGCACCTGTGCATACAGTGACCAGCGAGATCAGAAGAGGGTGTTTGATCCCCTGGAACTGGAGATAGGACATGTGGGTGCTGGAAACTGAACCTGGGTCCTCTGCAAGAGCAGCCAGTGCTCTTAAGCCCTGAGCCATCTCTCAACCGGCCTCTAGTTTTCATAGCAACCTTACGATATAAACTACTATTATGCCTATTATACAGATCAAAAAGTGAGTGTTCCATGAAGTTGAGTGTGCACAGATAATAAATGGCTGGAACATGTTCAAAAGCAGAACCATGTGTATAACCACTGTGTGTTATAGTCTTTCCAGACACTGATCTGCAGGAATTAGCATAGAATGTATAGAATTATTTATGTGCCTGTGTATGCATGTAAAAATATCTCTGCCCAGGTGTGGTGGCACATGCCTTTGATTGTGGCACTGGGGAGGGAGAGGCAGGTGGATCTCTGTGAATTCAAGGCCAGCCTGGTCTACATAGCAAGTTCCAGGCCAGCAGGGGATACAGGGAGACCCTGTCTCAAAAGCAAAGCATAAAACAAAGCAAAGCAAAAACAGGGATGTGGGCACTCGAGAGACTGCTCAGCAGTTAAGAGCACTAGGTGCTGGGCAGAGGACCTCAGTTCAGTTCTCAGCACCTACATGGCAGTTAACAACTGTCTTTAACTCCAGTTCCAGGGGATCTGATGCCCTCTTCTAGCCTCCATGGAACTTGTACAGCATGGGTATACACTTACGTGCAGACAAAACACAAAATAAAAATAAATTGATTAATTTAAAAATATCTCGGGGCATTATTAATTATGCCAATGATACCACTACCCTGAACAAAATGAAAGCTTACTTTTTTTTTTTTTTTTTTTTTTTTTTTTTTTCCTTTTTGAGACAGGGTCTCCCTGTAACCCCAGCTGACCTGGATCTCTCTCTGTAGACCAGGCTGGACTTGAACAGATATCTGCCTGGCTCTTCTTCCCAAGTGCTGGGATTAAAGGTGTGTACCACCACACCTGGCTAAAAGCTTACTCTTAAAAAGTTTTTAAGAGTGTGCTGGAACCCAGAGGACGCCTGTTCCCACTTGTCTCTCAGAACTTTGCCAATGGGCTAGGCAACACTGACATATTTATTCCAAAAGACTTCTGTAGCCTTGTTGGAGAAATACAAAGTTTGGCTCCACCCTCATCTCAAGGGACCATCCAGCTTTGTCCTCCCAAGTATCTTGCTCATCCAAGATCACTTGTCCTCCCAAACCTCCATGTATCCGGGGGATGGGTGTGGTGCTGACAGCACTTTCCTGTATTAATTCCCAAGCAAACCCATATTCATTCGTTATCTTTTGGGATGGAGTACCAAACTGAGGTTGCCAAGGAGACATCCTGGTCATCAGACCTAAGAACATGATTTTGCTGGGATTAATTGAAAGTCGAGAGTATGTCCAATAATAACAGTCCTTCCTACAATTCCCTTTCTTTGTTTTATAAATAAAGAAGGATGCTCATGGGGTGGAGATAGGTGGTAGGCTAGTCACAGATGGTGTACTGGGGTGCTGGAGAGTCAGCATGTCAGCATGATGTCATGGTAGGTCTCTGAAGGAGGTAGCACAGGCAGAGCAGCATTGGAGAAGGCACTCAGAACTTGACAGCTCTTTACCAGTGCGTAAATTCAGGAAAAAGTCTCTCTTGCCAAGATGTTGCTTTCTGTTATGAATTTAAAAGTCATTCTAGAAGGCTGGGTGTGTTGGCGCATGCCTTTGATCCCAGCACTCAGGAGGCAGAGGCAGGTGTATCCCTGTGAGTTCAAGACCAGCCTGGTCTACACAGTGAGTTCCAGCTGGGGCTACAGTGAGACCCTGTTTCAAAAAGACCAAAAAAATAATAATATTAATAATAAAAAATAAGTCATTCTAGGATCCAAGACCTGTAGGAGAAAGCACAGAGTCAGCCTTAACTCCAATTGACAGAAACTAGATCCAGCCATTAGTTGGCTTTTCACTTAGTTTATATAAAACCATGTGCTATGATAAAACTTTTTTTTTGGTCTTTTTAGAGACAGAGTCTCCCTGTAGCCCCAGCTGTCCTGGAACTCACTATGTAGACCAGGCTGGCCTTGAACTCACAGAGATCTGCCTGCCTCTGCCTCCTGAGTGCTGGGATTAAAGGCATGCGCCACCACGCCTGGCGATAAAACTTATTTTTTAAGATGCTTTTCTGGCAAATGTTGGAAAATTGAGAGGAACCATTTAAAGATTTTAAAGTATAAATTGCTTTAGCAAGTTGTTCCTAGGTAGTTAATCCCTATTCCCCTGTTTTTGTTTATGTATTTGATCTTGAGTAGTAAGTGAGCTGTTTAATGGCTTGTCTTTAGGGGTGGTGAGACATGAACTTTCCAAAATTGACAAAAAGATAAAAGTTTTAG